CTACGGGATCCCAGAGGCACTCGGGCTCCTTCCTCCTGAACAGAGCATCGTACCCCAACCCTCAGCCCCCTAAGCCTTTTTGTCCTCTTCTCCTTCTCCCCAGGAGCAAGCCAGGTAGGAGGAATAAAACGCCCCGAGCAGCTGAACAGTGTCACCACCAGCCAGGGCGGACATCGGATTTACCTGCGGATGGAAAATCTTTGGATCAAAACGGATTCCTGTTGGCCGTAAGAAAAATACTCATGAAAAGCATCTTTGCTGGGGAGGATACCGGTGAACTGTTCCCAAACCCTCAAGCCCCTTCCACCTCTGCATCCGCAGAAATTGCAGGTACGTGCTCAGACTCCTGGTGCTCCGCTTCCAGTCCCACCTCGGGAGCAGAGGCTGCTTCTCCCTTTCCCCCCCCCGGCACGGCCCGCTGCTCATCCGCCTGCTCCCAAGACGGGCGGGAAGGAGCGCGGTCCCTCTGGGGGTGCCTGGTCCAGCTGCAAAGGTCAGGGAGGAGGGAGCAGAAGGCTTTTTTTTTTTTCTCAGAAATTCCCATTTCCAACCATTTCTTCCCTCCCTTGGGGTCTGGGCGGAGGGAAGCGGGGCCTGACTGTCCCCCCTGTGTCGAGAGCCCCGGAGCAGAAGGAGCGGGGACGGGAGGAGGGAGTTGTCCTGGATAAACTCCAGGTCAGAGGCGAGAGGGGCCTTGGGCCCACTTGGAAACCGCCTCGGGGAAGGGGAGAGGCCTTTCCCCACACAGGAGACTCTGGGACCTCTGTCTCCAGCCTCGGAGGGGCTGTGTTTGCGCTCCAGAGTGAAGCCTCCTGCCATGGCCCCCATAGTCTAAGGCCACAAAACCAGTTGTTGCCCAGGAGCCCTGTTTTCTCCTGCGTGGGCTGAGCAAGCCAGGGCTGGCTTTGTCCTCCCCCTTTCCCTTCCACTGGCATCTGCTGCCCAGCGTTGCCCCGTCCCTGCTATGTGTCACGATCGGGGACGCTGCAGCCATGTCCTGGTCCTGTCCGTAAGCTGCTCTTGCCTGCTCTGCCAAGTTGCAGCTTACGGGTTTGCGTCGCTGGGGTGAGAGCCACAGCTCAGCCGTGCGGGCCCCGGCCCGTTTGGGG